GGGAGTTTGGGATCCCTTTAAGTAGAAATAACCCAGTATATTCAAAACTCATACACCTGTTTGAGCAACGTAGAAAAATTTTCTTTATCTAAGTTTTTGCATTTTGTGTCTTTGTAATATTCGGTAAGAACTGCCTTCCACACTTGCTTAACATGGCAATAGACACTTCTGTCCAGTGGCTGAAGAATGTGAGATGAGTGGGCTGGTAGACAAATCAAAATTATATTTTTTTCCTGACATAGCAATACAGCTGCTAAACTGATGTAAGATGTATGTCCATCAAGATGTAAAATATGAGTACCACTAATAGCTTGACATTCTAACACTTCTATCAACTATTCAATAAATGTGTCATGCTCCATCCAACCAGATTTAAAAATTGAATATTTGGTGCCAGTCGGACCATCTTAAGCCCACTAAGCTCTAAAGTTTTGTTTTGCTTTGTATACCACGAATGGTGGTGCAAAGTATCCATCAGCATTACAGCAATTGTTCACTGTATAATGGATTTTTTCATTGTTACCAGTGAGTTTTAAAACACACTTTGCACCTTTTCGACATACTACAGTTGCTTTGCCTTGATCACCACAGAAATCTGTTTCATCGCAATTACAACTGTGACAACCAGAAGTTATCCCAAACAATTGATATTGTTTAGTGACAACTTCAAAATAATTATCAATTATTTCTTGCGTACAAGAAGCGGCTCTGGCAGATGCTAAAGTGTGAGTTTTTCTTGTGGAAATTTCTTTAGACCATCGGTTTATAAATGCATAAAGCCAGTCTTTGTCAGGCCTGCCATTTTTAAATAGGCCTGATTGATTTGTATAAAGAAGGTAACCGCATACGAAGTCTATGACATCATTTTGTGTTAAACTAAAACCACAATCACATAGGAACTTAAACGCATGCACCATATTTGATTTTGTTTGCTGTGAGAGTATAGTTGTTGATCCTGATCCCTTGAAGCTAGCATTGTTGTTGTTCTTTCGGCCTATTAGAGTTGAGAATGGAATGCCATATTTGAATGCAGCTTTTTTGATTGAAGTATTTTTTTTCTTTTATATCATTTAACGCAGCTTCTATATCTTCTTCATTGTATAACTTTTTACTTGTCATCTTGAAAGTGAATAATTAATAAATATCATTGAGTCATTTTTGTAAAATAACTTTATATAGGAAGAACCTGGAATTAACACATGAGAAAATTCACCTAGGTACCTAATTTAAAAACTCACATACTACTTAATAAAGGAATTTAAAGTAAATATGTGAATGATCGGTTTTACCAGAAAAAATTTAATATTAATTTTTCTTACTTTTTTGTGTAATTTTTAACCATAAAATGAAAAAAAATTATGTAATCAGTATTAAAATTAAATTTTCTACAAGATAGAGGTAAAATTATTTTAAAACGAATTATGGTTCCCGAATTACAGCGCTCAAAATAGTTTTTCAAAACTTCCCGATCAAATGTAATTTTTTAACAAAAACAGGTTATTTTCCCTTGAATTTTTCGAAATTTACCTAAAAATAGCCGATCATTGATCGTTGATCGGCTATTATTTCGAGCGCTGGAATTATTACAATAGCAAATAAAAGAAAAAAGCAAATTTTTACGAATCTCTTTTAAACTTTTATAAAAATAAAATGACTGAAAAGTGACTTGGAATTTATTTTGACACATTTGAATAGAGGAGATGATTCTCTTTTTTGTGGTGTTTTTATTTTTTAAATATTCCTATCAGTTCCGGTTTTATTTAAATTTTTTGATCAGTGATCGAAAAAATAGTATGATCGGTTTGAACTGCTTTTACTCTATCTCTTTAAAACTGTTGAAGAAAAACCATGGTTGACTAAAAATAATACTTTTTTACTTTATAATTATATTATATGTAAAAAACATAAGAAATAATTATATTACTTAAAAAAACTCAATAAATATAGTTTAAGGACAACAATGATAATTTAATTGCATAGTTGGACAAACTTTCAAATCTTTATTGGTTAGAAAGAAAGACATTTGTGACTCTTTAAATACAGCTTTTATCTTTCCATACCTGTTAAATGACAAAACTCTTTTTGTTTAAAAAAGTTTTGTGTAGAAATACTTTCTGCATTATAAACACATCCTAAAATAGACCACGCCAATGTTAAAGGAACTGTTTTATTTCTATAAAATCATTATTGTTCACAAACTTAGGATAATTTTTAAATACATTACTCAAATTTGCAAAACTTGGTGACTTTGCATTTGACTCTATTAAAAAAAGCTTTTAGTAAATTGCATCTAGGTGCCTGTGGTGAATATTTTATTTTGGTTCAAAAAATCTTAGAACAAAAACTGAATTTTGAAAACAAATTTTAAAATATCATTCAGACTTTCATGAACTTAATGTTGATCATAGTTGCATGAACTGTCAAGCCCGTTCTCCATTCAGAACTTTTTGCGCTTTGGGGAAGCGGAAAAGTTATTTGAGCATGCGCAAAGAGTTTTTTT